GTGGCTCAGTCCGTTAAGTGTCTGACTCTTGATTTCGGCTCAGGGCATGACCTCGTGGGATTTTGGCTCAGGTCATGATCTCGGGTTCGTGAGTTCCAGTCCCTTGTCAGGCTCTGTGCTGACAGTACAAACCCTGCTTGGGATTCTGTCTCTACCCTCTCTCTCCCTGCCCCTTCCCGGCTTGCTCTCTTTAAATAAATAAACAAACATTTTAAAAAATTTTTAAAAAAAGAGACTTGAAATCAGGTGTCAAGTGTATAGGGAAGCTCTATTCGTTTGGATTTTTCACAACTTAGCTACGGTTTTAATATATATTTCTAAGGGATCTAAACGATGGGAAATCCTCCCTCCCCGTTATAATTATTGGCTGATCTGGCCTTGATAGTTGAGCATCTGGTGCCAGCAGCATTTAACTAGCAGTAATAACTTAGAGTGTCTGCCAACCCTCTTAAGGACCTCACCCACAGTTCAGGAGGTCGAGTTTGGTTGGAGTCACAGGATGGACACCTGGTGTCTAGCTTTGGCTTTCCCATCAGCTTGTAACCATGTTGAGGGCAAGGCTCATAACTTATAGCACTATCTGCCTCACTTGAAGCCAGTAAGATCGTACTCCTTCTTCAAAACCCAGCATAATTATTCCATCTCTGACTCCTTAACCAGGTCTCTTATTCAGTAAACATTTAATACAGCACCATGCTAAGACCTGGGCATAGAGGCAAACATACAACATATTCCCTGCCATCAAAGAGCTTACATCTAGCGTAGAAAGCACTAGGAGATGGATGTGAACACGCCAGGCCTTCTGTTGAAATCACTCCAGGTGTAGTGTGGTATACGGCTTACTATCCATTTACATCCTTGCCTCTTCTCTAGACTAGGCAGAGACTCTCAATCTGGGGTCCATTTGTATCTTCTGAAAAATATGTATGTTTTGACTTGTATATTCTTGGGGGTAAGACACCATAGCTTTCTTCAAGTCTCAGGAATCCGTGATCTGAAAAAGGATCCTTGATCTGTGTGCTTATGACACAGGGCTCTCCCCTCTTGCAGCTCTTCAGCTCAGTCTGTGTACAGAGGTGGTTAGCAGGTGCTTGTTGAGTCAACTGCAGGATGAATGTAGAGAAAGGAAAGGGTACAGAAAGGGCTCTGAAAAGTTAAGTACTATGAAACTCTGAGCGTTCATTTGCCTTGGCCTCCAAAGGAAGCCCAGGAAATACAGATTTCCTCCTTAAACTCTGGAAGGATTTTAGTTCCTTCCTGGAGGAAGAGCTATCATCCCTGTCTACTGTGGTCTCTGTCACCAGGTCCGAACACTATTCGTCAGTGGCCTCCCTGTGGACATTAAACCCAGAGAACTCTACCTGCTCTTCAGGCCGTTCAAGGTGAGTCTGGACCCAGCCACCCACAGGCAGAGCCTAGGATGGAGGGGAAGCATCAGGAGTGAATCCGACCTGGATTGGGCAGCAGGAAGGCAGAGGGCAGTGTGTCAGAAACTGATCGCAGACCCAGCTCTCTGTCCTGGTTGTGTTAATTCACATGTTGCTTTCGTCGATTGCTTAGCCCTTCTGAGCCTCTCATTCCTCATCTGCAAAGTGGAAACAAGAGAGAATCTCAGTAGGCTTTGCCATATAAGGAATCTTTGAGATTCAGTGTAGTCTTTTCAGTTCAAGTTTTGAGAAAATTTTAAAAAGGTGGGGTCTGTGCTTCCACATTACAAGTTAGCGGAGCAAGTGGGAATTTACGCACGAAATGATGAACGCTACCACATGATGCCCACATCGTGTGCTACACCATGTGATACAGAACACAAGGGCAGAGGGCGCTCAACACTGGTGGAGGTCAGGGTGGTGGACACGTGGTGGGAGTGGTGTGAGAATGATGCAGGCAAGCACTGGTGGAGAAAGGGGGGCTGACATCATGGGTGGCTGGGCTAGCACAACAGGCTTCTGACCTTCCCTGTGATAACCACCTCTCTCTGCAGGGGTATGAAGGGTCCCTGATCAAACTCACATCGAGACAGGTAATTTCTCTCCAAAGTTTTTTTTTTTTTTTCCTCCCAGCCCAGACCGACTACTGAGCTTGGAGCTGAGCCTGCTACCTTTTCCTCATCTTGAGGCATTTGGCAGCTGAGACCTGTTCTTTTTCATCTTGTTTCTGTTCTGAACTGATGAAAGAGCGACCTCCACAGGTCCCCTCTCCTTACCAGTCAGCTTCTGGTCCTCCCTCTCTGGTTTTTGAGAAGCTTTCAACCTGTTGCCCCTTTACCAAACCTGGGGCCTTCCCATGTCCTTAATATATTGGTGCCCCCTTTCTTGCTGGCGAAAACACTGGAACTTAATTACTTGCGTGCATTAAAAAAAAAGATTTACCAAGAGGGTGATGTTTAATGCAGTGGGATAAAGCTGTATTGGAATCATTTCCCACAATGTAGTACCTGGATGGGAGACTTTGGGTGCATGAGAAACTTCTGTTCTAACTGAACATAGGATATAGGCAAGAAGTTGTTTTTGGTTTTTGGTTTTGCTTTGTTTTATTTTTGAGGGGAAAATGGAATGTTGGGAGAGATATGAGGATGTTCTCTCTTTCTCCTACTAGCCTGTTGGTTTTGTGATCTTTGACAGCCGAGCAGGAGCAGAAGCAGCCAAGAATGCATTGAATGTGAGTAGACAAGGCTTTCTCTGACCCACAGACCTCTAGACAACAAGTATTCCTGTTCTATCTTTTACAAACTTTCCCCCACTCCATGCCACTAAAAAGGGCCTACAGATATACCTTAATCCCCCAACATCTGGGGCAAAGTCCCTAGCTGCTTTGTCTTTCAAACGCCACTACTCACAAGGTCCAAGCAGTGTGTCGTCTGTCTTGGCCCCTGCATGGGTGAGTCTTTTAGGCAAGATCATTTCTGGGGCCCTTCTGTACCTGTTGCAGTGGACAGACTGTCTGAGTCCTACAAAGTAAAGTCTTTTCCGTCCTTTCCTTCCCTTCCCTTCTCTTGTAGGGTATTCGCTTTGATCCTGAGAACCCGCAGACCCTGAGGCTAGAGTTTGCCAAAGCCAACACCAAGATGGCCAAGAACAAGCTAATGGCTACACCAAATCCTACCAACGCTCACCCCGCCCTAGGAGCACACTTCATTGCACGGGACCCCTGTGAGTGGTGCTCAGAGCTATCATCTGCTGTCCAGCTATTGTCTGCTGTCCTTTTATTTGCCCCAGGCAAGGGGCCTGAGTGCAGTTGCAAACAGAGGGAAGTTGTTGAGATTCTCACTGAGGGAGTCAGTCCTTTCCAGGAGGCTTCTTGTATCCACAGCCACCTGTCTCTGTGGGTTCCATGCTTCCTTCCTCCCCTTGTAGCCTTTGCTAGGCTGCGGACAGACTGAGCTCCTGAGCTGTCAGCATTGCCCAACTTCTCTGAAGCCTTCTCTGATTTTTCTTGGTTGAGATGGGCAGAAGCCCATCTAAGGGCTTCTTCTTTTTCTTTTTTTTTTTTTTTAAGAGCATGAGTTATTATTTATTTATTATTTTCTTAATGTTTGTTTATTTTTGAGAGAGAGACAGAGACAGAGCGTGAGCCGGGGAGGGGCAGGGAGAGAGGGAGACACACAATCTGAAGCAGGCTCCAGGCTCCTAGCTGTCAGCACAGAGCCTAATGCAGGGCTCAAACTCATGAACCGTGAGATCATGACCTGAGCTGAAGTCGGACGCTTAACGGACTGAGCCACTCAGGCACCCCTCGTCTGAGGGCTTCTTAAAGCAGATAGGATGCTCACCATGCCAGGCCAAGTTAACATGGCTTTTTTTCCCCTGGTCTTTCGGTCCTTGAGGGAAGTCTGGCCTGAGTAGGGAGCTTATGCTTCAACTGTAGTGATAGGTCCCCTTCTCTGTTTGGAATAGTAGTGGAAGGGGAGACCAGTGTTCTGACAATGGGGGCTGTTGTCTCCCATTGTAGATGACCTTATGGGGGCTGCTCTGATCCCCGCATCCCCAGAGGCCTGGGCCCCCTACCCTCTGTACACCACAGAGCTGACCCCAGCCATCTCACACGCTGCATTCACCTACCCAGCTGCCACTGCTGCTGCCGCTGCCGCCCTACATGCTCAGGTAAGCCCCTCTGGGGGAGAGGCGGGGAGAGGATGAAGGAGGCTCTAAGCTGGCCAGACTTTGTTCCTGAATGGCCACAGGGCCACTCATGCCTCTAGAGCTGCAGAACTGCCGTCTCCCACGACATTCTCTTTAGGGCTTCGGATCAGACAGAGGAGAGGGAGAGTATTAGCTGTGAGGCTACATCGGGGATCTGAGGCAGAATGTGAGTGTGAGAGAGACCCAGCCATGGTCCCACCACCCACCGAACATGTGCAGGCAGGTGCCATACTGTGTTCTGCCTGTGGTGACAGCCACAATTCAGATCCCAACCCGAGTGTGCTCTGTGGAGCCAGGCCGCCTGCCTCTGCCTCTCTGGTCTTTACGAACTTCAGAAAGCACTTAAAAATTCCTGACTTTTTTACTATCTAGAAGAATGAGCACAGTATTATCTGCGTCAGGGTTGTTGAGAGAATTAGATGTTAACACCTGTGAAGGGCCGGCACCACAGGCCCCCCCCCCACACACCTGGAGCTCCGAGTGCTCAGTGAGTGTTAGTGCTTGTTTTCATGAAGCCTAGACACTCTCCATGGTGAACCTGTGCAGGGATGGCGGGAAAGAGGGAATGAGCACTTCTAGGGGAGAGTTGGGGAGGTTAGTGCTGGGCCACTCACCGAGTGCCATACCAGGTGCCCGAGGCCAGTGAGCCACGGTCCGTTCTGGCCCGGACCTCCCTGGTGCAGTAACAGGAGGCACTGCCAGGTGTATGGACAAAGTGCCACCAGGCAGCACAAGGGGGCTGAGGAGTGATGGCAAGCCCACTTTGGCCTGTGATCAGTAGAGTGAGCAAGAGCTGAGCCTTGGGAAGAGCGACCTGGCCGGGCGAGCTTTGCTGTTGATGGAGGTCGCCTTACCAGGGCAGTAGGGCACGAGGAAGAACAGGATATAAGAAGCCAGGAAGAGAGAGTTCACAGGAACCAGAAGCCAAGGTGGGAGGGTTTGGGTGCTCTGCCCAAGGCGGGGGGCTCAGTGTGTGTCTATGTCAGGTCCTCTGAAGGGCTTAGTGACATCTGGATCTACTCATTTCTGAGGTGGAAGGTACAGACTCCCCGCCTACTACCCTAGCAAGCTGTTTTCCCCCATCAGGGGAGGTCCCCTTGGCCATGGCCGCTTTAGATTGTACTGAGGGCAGAAGTGTGGTTAAACTTGGCACCGTTCCCCAGCTGTGCACCACAGGCAGCTAGAAAATTGATAGGGGATAGGAAGGTGGTAAAGATCATCCCCCAGAGGGAAATGATTGGGTATTTACCACAAACCAGGTTCTGTGGTGGGCAAAGAGCGGGTGAGCCCAGGAGACTGTCCTCGTCCTCCGTGACCTGGTGGAGTGCAGGAGGCTGGCAGTAGTGCTCCTGGCCACGCAGGGAGTTTCACTGCAGCAGCCCCATGAGGCCTTGCCGGGAGCTTTGCTCCGATCCTAGCTGTGCAACCATTTCGCTACCTGATCTTTTGCAAGTGACTTCACCTTTGGGCCTCTGTGTGTGTCCTCATCTGTAAAATGAGAGGGCAATCAAGATGAGGTGGAGAGGGTTCTACCCTGTCTGCTCCAAGATGCTTGGCCGTGACAATGGTGAGGCAGAGGTTGGGAACCAGAGATAGTATGTCAAGTTAATAAGCAGAGGTGCCTCTGCCGTTCTTGGGGTAGCTCCTCCAGCTGGCTGAAAGGGGCACGCTACTTCCTGTCCTTAAATTCCATACTTCAGGGCTATGTGCCCTCCTGTTTTCTTCCTTTCTAGCTTCCTCCCTCCCACCCTGTCCCTGCCCAGTGGCTGCCCAACTCCGGTCCAGCTGCCTCAGTCCAAATCCTGGCTCTTCCAACACCTCTATGACCTTGGGCAAGTTACTTAACCTCTCTGTCTCAATTTCTTTGGAATGGTGATAATCATACCTACTTTGTAGGTATTTGTTTTTCTGATATTAGCATAGAGGGAATGCTAGAGAAGTGCCAGTTATCATGGTTATTATTTAATATCACTATTATCTCGTGCCCCCAGGGTCCTCTCCGAGGCTGGAGGCCTCATTGTGTCTCAGTCCCTGTTTCTGGACTCCCTGGGATGGGGATAAAGCCCACCTCGAAGGCTAATGACATTTGTCAGGAGGCAGGCTAGCAACAAGAGATTGGACGAGGTAGTAACTAGTTCTGTCCCAGCTACTGGACTTCTCTGGATGTCCGTCTCCACAACAGTAGAATGCACTGCCCGAACCAAATGCAGTAATAGCATTTGTGTCTTTTCCTTCCAAGAGCTCCTTCCCTGCCCCCTGACAGTGCTGCCCAGAAGTGGATGCTGTTCATCCTGAGGGCATTATTCTGAACCCAGAGGAACAACAGAACTGATTCTGGGCCTATGAGCAAGGAGGTGACTTGGAGAGAAGGTAGTAGAAAGAGGGGATGAAAAGCAGTCCTTCCTTTCTGTGTCCCAACATACATACCCTGACTGCATGCCTTTTGCCACTAGCTCAGCCTCAGCCAAGGCATCCGTATGTGGCCGTGGGGCCCAGACCTACAGGAGGGGCATTGGAGATGGCTTAGTCCTGCTCTGTCTAGCGTGAGGCCATATTGCTCAGCCTTCTGGTCCTCTTTTTTTTTTTTTTTTTTTTTTTTTTTAAGTTTATTTATTTATTTTGAGAGAGCAAGCAGGGGAGGGGCAGAGGGAGAGGGAGAATCCCAGGTAAGCTCCACGTTGTCAGAGTAGACCCTGGTGGAGGGCTCGAACTCACGAACCATGAGATCATGACCTGAGCTGAAACCAAAAGGCAGAAGCTTAACCAACTGAGCCACCCAGGTACTCTTCAACCTTCTGGTCCTCTTGATAGAAACTTCTCTTTTAAGAGGATGAGGCACACAAGAGGTGTAGATGGCACGGGGTCTGGCACATGCCTAAAAGTGGGAATTCTCTGTGTCCCCTTGCATCCCAGAGTCCTCCCAGACTTGACTTCATTTTCCACTTCAACCTGAGGATGGTGGGGATCTTTGACCGGGGCTCTTTTCCCCCTCTTTACACTGGCTCACCGCTTGCTAATGACCTTCCTATTACATGAACTCCCTTGCCTCTATTTTCTTATCTGTATAATGGAGATAGTAAGATTCTCTTTTCCCTTTGCTTATTATCCTGCTCCCCTGAAAATAGTTAGTTTTAGTCCATAGGGTTAGTAGATAGTTGGGTGTGCGTGTATAAATAAATCCATAGATGTGGATCTTTTTTTTTTTTTTTTTTTAATGTTTGTTTATTTTTGAAAGAGGGAGAGACAGAACATGAGCAGGTGAGGGGCAGAGAGGGAGACACAGAATCCGAAGCAGGCTGCAGGCTCTGAGCTGTCAGCACAGAGCCCGACGAGGGGCTCAAACCCGTGAGCCGTGAGATCATGACCTGAGCAAAGTTGGGCACTTAACCGACTGAGCCACCCAGGTGGCTTTTATAAAAGTTACACATTTAATCTGTTTAAAACTTAAATATTAGGACATTGTTTCCCATCAGTAAATGTAGATCTACATTTGGATGCCTGGCAAGCCCACCTTTGTATAAGTGTGTCCAGCTCTCTCTTGATGGTAAATTAGGTTGTTACACAATTTTCTGCTACCAATAGGCTGTGCTGCCATGGACGCCCTTGTTCACCCCTCCCTGGGTACCTGTCCTGCTGGTTTTCCTTATCATAAATTCCTAGAACTATTACAAGGTCACAGTGTAGACTTGGCAACCTGAATGTTCCTTTAATTGACTTTCTGATGAGTGAGGCTCCCATATTTATTGGCTATTCATATTTCTTCCCATGTGGATTTATTCCTTTCTCCACCTCTTGGTCTATCTTCTCAGTTAGTCCCAAGATCTGAGAGAGGACCGAGTTCATGTGCCCCGCCCCCCTCCCTTGTTTTGATGCTGCCCTTCTTGGAGCCTGGTCATTCCAGATGCCCATGGGCCTGTCCCTGTGCGGTGGCTTCTCAGGACCCCCAGATCCCTATGAACAACTGGAGGCCTTGAGAGTGGGCTGCTCACTCACTCCCTGATGTGCTGGCCCTGATCCCTGGGCCTTGGGGGTGTCTCCTGTTCTGAGCTGGGGCAGGAAGGGACAGCACTTCTTTAGAGGACCCTGACTGCCAGCCTCTACCTGTGTCTGAGGAAATGGAAAGGCAGCCCCTCACGTATGTTCTGTCCACTGGGATGGTACATCCATCCCGAGCTCAGAAATGCAGGTTTTCCTCTACTTCTTCCCCAAAGGGGTAGTGGCTCATCTCAGGCTGGGGGGAAAGCTGCTGCTTTGGAGACTGAGTCACAGCACCTAATGGAGGGAGTGGGGGACCCCATGAAGCAGGCTTGCCGAGGGAGCCCCTTAAGCAGCCGCTGGCTTCCCCAGTGGTGAGAGTCAGAAGCCTCCGAGCTTTTCCCACACTAACCAACATTTGCATCTTGTCCAGCCCTACAAGGTACCTCACCTGTCAGGATCTCTTGTCACGGGGCTGCTCCAGCTGGAAGCCAGGTGAGGGGTGGTGGTCAGGGTCCACCGGGGGATTCCCTGAGCTGGAGTGGGCCACAAGCTTATCTGGTAGCCACCTGCTGGTTTCCTTATTGTCCCTCTCTTACGGAATGAGCTCTTATGTCCAGCCACGCTTCCAGGTGGGAGTGCATCCCACAGCTCAGCAAAGGGGAGGAGAGGCTTCCTCCCACTTGGCCTCCCACTTGGCTGTTAGCCAGGAGGGGAGGGAACTGCTTCCAGATGTTGAGACAGCAGGAGAGAAAATAGTGGCTGCTGAGGCTGGACAGCTCAAAGGCAAGAAGAGGCACTTGATCTCCTATTCTGTGTGATATGGTGCTTAATCAAGGTGGTTCTAGCAGCCCGGGTCCACGGTGTCCTGGTGAGAGCAGTGCCACATCCTTGGAGCCCAGGGAAGATTCTGGCATTGATTAGGTGGCCTAGGACCTGCTTCTGCTATATGCCAAGTGTCCTGGCATTTTAGGGTAACCAGCTTCTGCTTGCTGTTGAGCATGTGGTGAGCAGAGTCCTGGGGTGTACAAAACATGTAAGATTTGGAGGAGACACAGGAGTATGTTCTCAGGAAGCTTCCATCAGCCCGCAGACGACCTGACATTACTTGACATCTTCTCCGCTTACAGAGGCAGGGATTCCAGGCAGCCAAGTGGGTAACTGAGTCCAACTACCACACTGTCAAGCTAGTTGTCTGTGGGCCCAGCTGCTACTTGTTTTCTACATTGGCTCTTGGCGTGCCATCCCTTCCTTTCCTGAGGGGACCCCGGACTCCCCTCCCTGGGCATTCTTCCCCTTACCCCTCATTCAAGGTCTTGTGATGCTGTGTTCCCCCACTGATCCCAGGCAGCCATGGATTAGGCTGGGGCAGACATGCTGTCTATAACTGGGGTAGGTGGCCTTCCTGCAGTCTTGGCTTGGCACCCAGCATAGCTTACTGCCCAGACCCATGGGGAGGCTGTGCCTAGAAAGGGAGGGCGTATGATTTCCTGACCCGTCTCTGGGAATCCTGCTTAGGGGCAACTGCTCTGAAGGGCCTTCTGGCAAGTGCCAGGGCTGAGACAGCTGCCAGGCCCCCATTGGAGGCCTCAGCTGGTGGGTTACAAATCTGTAGACCTGGGAGGCTGATAATGGAGGGAACAAGAGGGATGGAAAAAGATGGAAGCATCAGCTGGGTCTCAGCCATGACTTCCTTAGAGAATCCTACAAGGAGAGAAGTCCTACCCCTTAGAGACCACAGCAACTTTGGTTTCTAAAGTGTTTCTACATTGTGTCTCGCCTGATCCTCACGGACACCCTGTGACTTCATCATCTCTGTCCTGTACTTGGGTGAGGGCACTGAGACAGAAGGAAACTGAGCAAAAATGTATTAGGTTCATGCTCCTAACGTCAGAAATTCTACACTCTTCAAGTCAAGGGGGAAGGGCAGAATGCTGACCAGCACCCCCACTGCCAAAAGTCCACCTGGTACAGTTGGGCTCAGTGGAGCATAAAACACCTTGGTAACGATTCTCTCATTTGAACCTCAACCCTGCGGAGGAGGCGGGTCAGGTGGCGCTCTCCCATTTTCAGGATGAAGAAACTGATGCCTAGAGGTGAGTAAGTGGCCCGGCGTCTGCCAGTCAGTGACAGAACCAGGACTCCAGCAGGGACACTGAAGACTCCCCAGTCAAGAGAAGGGACTGCACAGCTAGCTCCTGACGTTGGCTTCTCTTGCAGGTGCGCTGGTACCCTTCCTCTGATACCACCCAGCAAGGATGGAAATATCGTCAGTTCTGTTAGTTCTTCAGTAAGTGCTGGCCCAGAGGCCCAGGATAAGTGTTCTAGAGCCTGGCTTACTGCAGGGCCGTGGTTCCTCCCTCTGCCTGAGCCGGAGAGCTCACTGGTGCTAGGCGTCCACCTGGACTTGCGTGCTAGGGCACTCTGGCTGGTTTTTCCCCTTCTCCTCCCACCGACACCCCCTGCCATCCATCTTGCAGCCTCCTCACAAGGGCGAAGCCTGGGTTCATCTCTAGTCCCTCACCTCTGCTCACGGCCACCTCTCTCCCCTCCCTCCAGGTCTTGTCACCGCAGCTTGAAGCCCCTGCCCCGCTGGGGAGGAAGCCGCTCTGAGCTTCCACTGCCCCCAGGCGGCCTGTGGAGAGCTGCTGCTTCCCTCCAAAGACTGTGAATTTTAAGCCTGACTCAGTGGACTGCTTCCTTTTTCCTTTCTCCTCTTCCTCAGCCCTGTCCTTCCCCAGAGCCCCTCGCCAAGGCCTCCCGGGAGGATTCAGGGGCCTTCTTGCAGGGACACCCAGCCCCAGGCCGGAGGTCTCACTGGGACTGAGCAAGGCCTGACCCCCTGGGTCCAGACTTGCTTCCACAGCTCCACCTCAGAGAAACGAGGCATTTAATTTTGCATGTTTTCTGGCATGAATTAAGACACTTAAATTTGTGTATATGTGAGTGTACAGTTTGTTCTCACATTGTGTCACCATAGCAACAGGTCCTGGCCACCAATGGTCCATCATTCCGGGTCCCTCTGTGCACACCCTCCCCTGCAGCCCCTGTCTCAGTGAGGACCAGCCCTGCAGCTCGCCCCGCCCTGCGGTCCTGCAGCCTGGCACCCCCACCACCCCCACGCGCTTCCAGGCAGAACAGCAGCCACCACCCGACAGAGATAGTGTTTTCTTTTTCATTTCAAGTCCGGGTCCTCTGCGTCCTCCTCAGAGGGGCCAACAACTGCTAAGAAAATCCTTTCTCTGCCCATTTTGCTTACCTCTCCACAGCGCACCCCACCCCTGCCCTGCTCCTCATTCTTTCCGTACTTCAAAACCAACCAAAAAGTGAAAGTATTTTTGTACCCTGTGTAACAAAATATTTATGCATCATAAAGGATTTTTCGTGTGTGTGTGCAATTAATTATTAAAGAGACCTTGTTCGCCTTGTCAGATAAGTTTAATGTTTAGTTTGAGGCATGAAGAAAAAAAGGGTTTCCGTTCTCCAGCAATGAGCCTTTGTTTCAGGCGTTAGTTTCAGAAAAATGAAGGAAAAAAAATTGTGCAATTTTTTTGTTTCATGAGCACATCAGTGCTTTTGCCTTTGGCCGCAGCTGTGTGGCTGTCTTGCCGTTTTCAGACTTGGGAGACGAGGTGGCTGTTGTAATTGCTGATCCTGTGAGAATGTGAAGCTGGATAATATATGAAATGCAAAATAAAAAGTCATCCAAAGTAACTGCTCTCTGACCTTTGCTTCCACGGGACCTAGACGGCCGCCAGGAGGGCACCGCTGAAGGGTAGCTGCTGCGAGCTGGGGGAGGGAGGTGAGGTGGGCCCAGGCCTTACGGCTCATGTAGCCCTTCCCACCTTCCCTCCTTGTGCACCTTAAGTCCTGGAGGAAAGAGACTCACAGAGGACCCCTCAACAGGGGCATATCTGCCAGCCCACCCTGTGTTTGATTCATTCACTCCTTCATCCAGAGTTCTGAGGCTATGGATGGAGATTCCCTGCACCCAGAGTAAGCACCCAAATGGGACCTTTGTTTTCTCTGGGTGCTGTGCTTTAGTTGGCCTGACCTTTCCTGGCCTGTGGCCTTTTCAGGCCCTCTAGCAGAGAAGGACTGTGGTTTGGAAGGGTGGGCTCCCCCAGGAAGTGTCCTTGGTATATATTTTGTGAGGCTGTGCTGGAGGGAAGAAGGATGGCCCTAGAAAGGGCCACTCTCCCACACCCTTGTAGGCTCCCTGTGGTGGCTCTGGTTCCTGAGGGGGAGGTTTTGCTAGAAGCAAGAGTACATGGGCATGAAGAGAAATCATGTGGAGCCATGACCCTGGACCTCACTGAACCTGCAGCTGGCCCCAGTTGTTCCCTGTTGTGATTTGGAGCCTCAGTTTCTTCATCTGTAAAGTAGTGGTTTGGAATCCTTTCCAGCTGCTTCTGGTGGGTTGGAGCACTGACCCCATGGCTTTGCTGTTTGTCTTTTCCATCTGTGTGCCCCCACCCCGTACCCTTCACAGCTTGGCTTGGAGCTGTGCCTACACAGGGAGGGCAGGACAGGCCCTAGAGTGTCCCCACTCTGTAGTTTCATTCCAGTCTTGCTCTGGGCGAAACTGGAGCAGCTGTGGCTGTCCCTGGTCACTTCCTCACCTATGTCTTGGGTGACCTTGGTATCCCTCTCTCTGTTTCACCTTTTCTGAATCCCAGTCCTGCACTGGGTGTTTTGGGTCTAAGATGTTCTGATAAATGTGTCAGCTGTTAAAGGCTATGGGGTGACGCATGCATCCCCAGCTGGTATCTGCATGTAAAGAGAGGACACAACCCCTCCCAGGTGCTCTGAGGGAGGAGGTGGCCACAGGGTGTCAGGCTAGAGGGTTGGTTACATGGACCCCAGGGAGAGGTCTGGGTGGGACGAGGGGAATTGGTGGCTGTGTTCACCTGTGTACCCTGTACCCCTCACCTCCCTGCAGTATCCAGAGGCATTGCTTCCCAGCCTGCAGCCTCTCCTAGTTCTGGTGAGGAGCTGCTCTGAGACCCACTACCCCCCCCCCCCCCCCCCCCCCCCCCCCCCCCCCCCCCCCCCCCCCCCGCCCCACCAGGGCCAAGCTGATGCCTGACCTACTTCAGCAGTGTCAGGAACCACTGGGTCTTCCTGAGGTGGTGAATTATTTAGCTGGGGCGCCGGGCCTTTCTGAGAGGGGCTAAGAAAGCTGCTCCATAATTTAAAGGCCCCTGCTCCTCTGGCTTCCCTGGGGGATCTCCGTCACGCCTTACTGAGCAGGGCCCAGGCCTGGGTCTGAGAGGAGGAGCCGGGAAGGTGAGGGGGCCCTGAAACCATCCCAGAGGGGCCCTCCAGCTGCACTGGGGCCTTTCCTCAGGGCGAGAGGCCTTAGCAGATAGTCATGTCTGGACTGAACTGTGAAGCTATGAACCTCGAATAGTTCAATGACTTCCTAGTAAGGACAGTAAGATCAGTCAGAAGCAGCCAGGCCCTGTCTCCCATTCTGTGCTCCTTCCAGAAAGCACCTCTTCCTTCTTGGAGGGGTTTAATCCCGATCTGATTACAGGTGAAAGGTTTCTTTCCTTTCTGAAAGGATTTTAGGCATCTGGGAACAACCAAGGTTCTTTGGCTCAGGGACCCCTTGCCAGCAGCACTGAGATGGTCTCCATGGCAGAGTACATGCATCTCTACTCCTCTTCACACAAGTGAGGCCTGTGTAAATGGATACTTGTTGAGGCACTGGGGAGCCCCTGGCTGTCCCCTGTGCCTGGCCTGAATTTGTAGCCTTTGTAGGAGAGCAAGTTCCCAGCCCACCTTTGGAATTTTTAGGCTGTGTGGCCTGACAGCTTCCTTGAGAAACAGTACAGGGTAAAGGCTTAGGTTCCTTGGGGTCCCGGAAGTCTCAGGAGGGAAGGGGACTCCCTCGTCCCTTGCCATTTCCCCGCTCCTCTGCCTGTCATGCATGTGCCCTGCTGAGCTCCTTTTTCTGAGTTCTGGAATAAAGCTTTTTTTGATTTTGAGGAACTCCTTGTTAGAATGCAAATACTCTTGAGAAAGGGCAAAGCCCCTCAGTAGGGTTAGGGAAAGTACCAGAAGGGAACCCTAGAAGGAAATGTAAACATGGAAGAAGAAAGACTTTCCTACAAAGTATTGGGAGGAAGAAGCAAAAACCTCTCCACCCAGCTATAGGCTTCCGGGCCCCTACCCCTCCAGTCAATGGGCCACCTTCATGAGAGCAGACCCTGCTCTCTGACGTTTTCCCTGAGGAACAGAGGAGGGGATATAGCAGCTGAGGGCCCACCCTTGTGAGCAGGGAGAGTCTGGGCAGATCACTGTCCTGGCAATGGGACAGGAAAGAGGCCTGAGCTCCTAAGGCATTTCTCCTGGGTCTCCTTGACCATCACCCAGCCCTACCATACTCTCTAGTCAGTGTGGACAACACCCACAGCTCCCTCATCGTCTGGCTTCTGATTGGGTTGGGTAGTGGGAGTCCCTGCAGGCATTTGGAGAGAGGTCAGTGAGTGAGGTCAGTTGCCCCTTGGTCTTAGAGCAAACCACTTCACCTGGTTTTCTGAGGGACCCTTGACCATCAGAATGTTAGCATGGAGGGTATTTAGTCCAGTCTTCTCTCCCATTTTACAGATGAGGAAATCGAAACAGAGAGGGGAAGTGGTTTGCTCTAAAGGTATAAGAACAATGGCAAAGGCATGCTTCACTCGTGTCTCCTGATTCCCAGCCTGGCTCCTTCCACTGCCCCCCGCCCCCATCCCCTGCATGACCATTCCAGAAACACACACACACACCCTTTAGCAGAGAGGCTGCAGCCACAGGATGGCCATGGGCTTGGAAGTCTATCCCAGCAGTTCCAGAAACCAGGACTAGAGTTCAGGTTTCCTATCATGCCACTCTCTGCTTTCTGCCCAGGGAATCTTGGTCTCAGTCTAGACTGATCTCTTTCCAGGATACTGGGTGCTGCTCCCGGTTTATGGGACACAGAGAAGCCCTCAGTGACCTATCTAGCCCTGTGCTGTCTCTCTGGCCTTTTAACCTAGGGGGTAAGGTTTTTGGCCTATAGGACCCATCTGGCTTTCCGTTTATGCAAGAACCAAGATAGTGTATTTCCATTTCTGCCTGGGGTAGAGAAAATGCAACACAGTTTAGTAAGATGAGTCTCATATAAGGAATGGCTGTATCATTCCATGAAAGCCCATCTCTTCCCTCTGAATCTGGGTCCTTCTCTCACAGTATTATGAGGGTAACAGAGGAATGATAGTAAGGAATATGCCTAAAGCACAGTAGGTACTCAACAGTTTGCTATGGTTATCTTTAAAAGAACACCTGGTCATCTTTCTCTCATCCTTAACAAGTAATAAAATTTGAGTTGATTCTAATTTATGTACTCCTTGGTTATTTTCCCAGTGGATCAAGGGTTCTCAACAGGTTTTTAGCCCCACATTCTACCTGGAGGAGTGGTGGAGGAAGGAGATGGCAGGGGCCCAGGAATCCCAGAGAACATCTGCAAGCCTCCAGAGCTAGCTGGTAGGATCTGAGAATTCTGACAATTATAGCAGTCATACTAATAGTAATATAGTCATAAACTACTTTACAGTTTACAAAACGTATTCACATACACCATCTCTGGTGATCCTCATAAAAGCCCTATGAAATAAGCAAGAAAGGCATTATCTACTTTTTGCAGCTATGGAAACCGAAGTTAAGAGGGTCCCACAGAAAGCAAAAGGCTCAAGACCCGGTTTTCTGGCATCCCTGTCCAGAGTTAAATGCTTCTCTGCAATTCTGGGCCACAGGGTCCCACAAAAGCCAGGGCTCCTGGGAGACTCTGGGAGAGCCTCATGGGAACTGGGAACCACTTGGGCAGGAAGAAGAGCCAGCAGTGACCCAAAGCTCTCTAGTTACCTGGTTAAGAAAGAGGCTAAACAAACAAAAACCAAAGGCTCCAACCATTATAGTATGTGGGAGGGAAAAAACCTGGATAAGGGTGATCAGAGCTCAGAAATCTCTGAAGGTAGACGTGTTTCCTAATTTGGCAAGAGCAGGATTACACATGTACCTACAGCAACTACTGATGTTGGAATCTGGTGATCTTGTCAGCATTTGTAAGCAACTGCATCTTCACAATGTTGCCTGAATGAGTAGTTTTTATCATTCAAGACGAAATACTTGAGTTTTTGGTGTTCAGTAACTTAAAATCATGGGGCTAGGAGAGAAGGCAGGAGCTAAAGTCTACAGCCTGGAGCCACAAAGCACTCTTATCTCTGATTTTTGCACTTGCCCTGGGAAGTGGTCTGGGGAACAACCACCTCCAGTTCACGGACAGGAAGTTCCAGTTTGGAGAGGTGCCCAAGTTGTATTTGGCTCTTGTCACCAAGGGGAAGGACCACACCCTATTACCATCCATTCTCTCTCCGCAGTCATTCATATTTGCCACCGACTCTTATTGAACGTATACTCCCCATGTCGCCTGTGTTTGGCGCTGAGGTGGAGAATAAAGCTCCTGTTCTCTGGGTGCAGCCTGGGGTCTGGGCTATAGATCTACTTAAGGGGGTAGTAACCAGGAAGGGAAAGATTTAGAAGTCAATGGTTCCAAATGGCTCAGTTTCCCTTTTCCTCCTGGGTGCTGCCCTCCTGTTCTCTGCCTCCCCTCCCCTAAGAGTCCAGACCCTGCTCTGGAGACATGTTTTGTGGTCTTGTGCTTGGCTTCTCAGAACAGCTACATGGGTGGTTTAAGATGTGGGTGTGGAGGGAGATGCCCCCATTTCTCACCCCAAGGCAACCCCTCAACTTCCAGAGCAGGACACCCTAGATTTCAGCCCCTGCTAAAGTTGGCCTCTCCTAATAGAGGCTTCTCAGCTGTGCCTGTTTCTCTTTCCATGCCCAGGTTCTCCTCCCTGGAACCAACAGTGTGCCTCCTGGAAAGTGATTTGGGTCTCAAGAAAGAGATGAAGAGAGAAGCACCAGGAAGGGAAATAAGGAGGGAGCAACCGTTCACAAAGCGATGATCTCCACTAGGATTTTTCCCAAAGATCAAATTCCCCCAAGTTTATTTGCATATACTCTTCATGGACGTATATATTTATTTTTTCAAAGTTTTTATTTGTTTAAGTAATCTCTACACCCAACGAGGGGCTCGAATTCATGACCCTGAGATCAAGAGTTGTATGCTCTGTGACTAAGCCAGCCAGGTGCCCCTATGGACGTATATATTTAAATCTCTCTTGTCCATAGCCGCAGATGAATCATTCCAAAATATCACTTTCATAGTTTTGAAGGACTTTCTTTCATGGTTCTCTAGAGCCTATGGGCTGATGGTCAAATTCAGGCATTCAGGATCTACCCCAATCTGTCTTCTGGCCCTTTTCTTAGTGTGCAGTCAAGTGAAGACATTTGTTGACCACTGTGCGGGTTCTGAGATGCTCAGAGAGAGGTTTTTC